AGGAGAGGAGAGGAGAGGAGAGGAGTTGGGTCTTGAACGAGCCCTGGGCACGTTGGTCGAGGGTGATGGGGCAGCAGTGGAGCACCCCATCTGACTCTGAAGGTAGCTAAGGGGTAAACTAGAGCCCTCCAGAGTGGCCTGCCAAAGTCCTCCTCGAGAGGATGCCATCCCAAAGCTGGGGCAGGGTGTTTTGTTAGGAGCTGCTCGGTCAAGGCAGCAGCTGCCAAAGTGGCAGTCAAAGAAACCAAAGAACACAATCATGAAATGACATTTCCTCCTGGAAACCAAGCCCACGCAGAGATAAAAGTCTGAGTGAGATCATTTATCTTTGGAGATGGTTTTTCCCCCCTGACCAAGCCCTTGGACTAGGAACCACTGTCAACCCTCACACCTTGGTGCCCCACCTCGTCCCATATTCGCATCCTAAACTCCACCAAGCTGATGGATCTGTGGCTGCCCGGCCACCCCTCACCTTCCATCAGAGGCCTGCTGTGACATGGGTGATCCCTGGGTGAGGAGCGTTGTGTTGGCAGCAGCACGGCCGGCCCATGGACCACTCTGTGTCCTCCCGGCCACCTCAGAGCATCCACTGGGGCTCCTCAGCCCTTATACATGTTTCTGATGGAAGAAGAGGAGAAGCATCAGGAGCAGCATGGGAGGGAGCCCATGTTGAGTTAACACAGTGCTGACTGTGGTTGAGCCAAGGGCCCACTTGGCAGCTTTTGGCTAGGACCAGTGTCACTGAATCACAGTCTGGGCTGGAAGGGACCTCCAGAGGTCATCTAGGCCAACCCCCTGCCATAAGCTGGGACCCCTGCAACTAGATCAAGCTACTCAGAGCTTCATCCAGCCTGATCTTGAATGTCCCCAGGGATGGGGCCTCCACCACCTCTCTGGGCAACCCATTCCAGTGGTCTGTCACCCTCAGACTGAAGAACTTTTTCCTAATGTCCAACCTAAATCTGCCCTTTTCTAGCTTAAAGCCATTCCCCCTCATCCTGTCACTGCAAACCCTTGTCCTTCATGTGATGGACCTGTCAGGGGCACAGCCAGGACCATCCCACTGCAGCATCTTTGCCCAGACCTCACGTGCCACAAACTTGGTGCCTTCCCCACCACCGCTCGTGCCGGAGCCTCTCTCGGGTGGCGAGATTGCATCAGTTACCCTGACAATGTCCCCGTGCCCTCCACAGGTCACCCGGCCAGCCCCTGAGTGCCACCACGGTCACCAGAGGCTCGGGCACCTCCCTCCCCTTGTCGTGGAGGAGGTGGTGGGGCAGGAGGCAGCAGGACGTGGGGCCCCTTTCGGTTTCGCTCCAGCCCAAGCCTGGGGCAGGGCTCGCCCAGCGTGGCCCACACCACATCCTGCTGCAGAGCTCTGCAGATGCTCCACTCTCAGCAGCTGGTGAGCCATGGTAGGAGCTCCTACCTGCCCCCCCTGGCTGCTGCCGAGGCTGTAGGGGTTTATTTTTAACAAGTGCATCCGCTCACCGGGTCCAGGTGGTTTTATTGGGCAGAGGTGGAGATGGAAACGCCTCCAGACCTGAGGGCACCCCCAGCTTCACCTCTGCTAGCAGATGGCACCGTGCTGTGGCCTCTCCACCAGCCCCAGGGTCGGCTCCAGGAGCTGGCTGGGTCCGGGTGGGACCTTCTTCTGGCCTACAAGATGCTCTAGATCCATGCAGCCACCCCCAGGTGTGCTGGTCAGAGGCACTGCAAGGGGGTCCCATTGCCCAGACCCACTCCTGACAGTGATGTGGGCACCAGGGGGGCTTCAGGGCAGCTCACCAACAGGCATGGGTAACTCTTGCTTTCTTTGGGCAAACCCAACCCCTCCCAGGGGGAAGCACAGATGTCATTTGACCATGGAAGCTTGGTCCATGGTGCAAGGTTAAGGTGCTTTGAACATCTCCTCTGCAGACTCTTCTGTTCATTCTCAAATCCCAGGGTCAGTTCTGGGCCCCTCACTCCCAGAAGGACCTTGAGGGGCTGGAGCGTGGCCAGAGAAGGGCAACGAAGCTGCTGGGGAAGGGTCTAGAGCCCAAGTGGGGGGAGGAGCAGCTGAGGGAGCTGGGGGCGCTGAGCCTGGAGCAAAGGAGGCTCAGGGGAGACCTTCTGGCTCTGCACAGCTCCTGACAGGAGCCTGGAGCCAGGGGGGGGTCGGGCTCTGCTCCCAAGGAACAAGGGACAGGACAAGAGGAAACAGCCTCAAGCTGCCCCAGGGGAGGTTTCAGTTGTCCCTGAGGAACAATTTCTTGCCCTGGAGGGTTGCCCAGGGCTGTGCCAGGCTGCCCAGGGCAGTGGTGGAGTCCCCACCCCTGGAGGGGTTTCCAAGCCCTGGAGATGTGGTGTGAGGGAAACAGGACCTGGCAGTGCTGGGGAAGGGTTGGACTGGATGATCTGTAAGCTCTCTTCCAAGCAGAATGATTCTGTGATTCTCTTGCTGACAGATCCATGCTGAAGTTTGTTCCTCCCAGCAGAGGATGTGAGATCTCAGCCTCCAGCAGCAGCCCTGCTGTGCAGATGACCCCAGGCTGTGGGGGGAGGACCAGGCACAGCCTCCCCCAGAGCTGAGACCCCACTGCCTGGACCTCTCCTGGAGACCCCTGTGCAGCAACAGAGCAGGGTAGAGTCTGAGAGGCACAAGCCCATCTCCAGCTGCCCAGGTGGCTTCACACGTGGCTTGGACAAGCCCTCGTGGGGGGTGAGGGGCTGCTGTAGCTGGGTCTGAACCCACAATCTTTCCCTCCAGGAGGGAAACCCGGGTCCTTCGACTCTTCCTTGGCTGCCCTGCTCTGTTTCAGAGGTTTCAGAGGTGGCAGAGGTCCACGCTCCCCCCAGCAGTGATGGTGGCCCCACAGCAGGGCCCTTTTCTCCATACAGGCAGCAGAAGGGCTGTGGCAGCAGCTCCCATTGCCCTTCCCCCCCAGACAATTGAGACACCACAAATTCAAGGAGCTTGGTGAGCAATTCACAGCGACATTTTCACCCTTTGATGTCTTCTTGTCTCCAACTGGGCTGGAAAGTTCAGCCACATCTTTGCACACAGCAGTCCCCAGGTCTCTCATCTTTGCTGTGCAACCAAGAACCCAGGCAGGAGGAGAGGGGGTTTGCTGCTGGCAGTGGTGTTCCCCACAGCCCTTCCTCTGCAACGTGGCCAGACAAAGCCCTTTGGTGGGGGAAGCCTGCTCTGACACCAGAGGTTCACTGAGGGTGTCCTCAAGTGCTACTTCAAAACGTGATCCTGCTGCTGGAGGCCAGCAGAGGTGCAGCAGCTCGTGCAAAGGCACCTGGCCAGGAGGACAGAGCAGCAGAAGAAATAACACAGTGGCTATGATTTTTTTTTCTGCTTCCAGTAGAAAAGTTTCAGGTGCAGCTCCAGGTCCACCCAGCAGTGCTGGAGGCTGCACAGGAAGGTGAAGGGTGTTCTCTCCTCTCACATGAGCTCTCTGAAGGGTAGAGGCCACTCAAAGCCAACCTGTAACCCCTCCAGAGATCCAACGTGCTCCAGCCCATCCTGAGGCTGCTGGGATGAGTTGTCCTCTGGAAGTGGAAGTTTAACATCTTCACTGGTGACACAGACAGTGGCATCGAGTCACCCTCAGCAGGTTTGCTGGTGATACTGAGCTGGGGGGTGCAGTGGACATCCCAGGGGGACAGGAGGCCATCCAGAGGGACCTGGACAGGCTGGAGAGGTGGCTCAGGGGAACCTCATGAGGTTCAACAAGACCAAGTGCAGTGTCCTTCACCTGGGGAGGGGCAACCAATGTTACCAATACAGGCTGGGAGAGGACATGCTAGAGAGCAGTGCTTTGGAAAGACTTGAGGGTCTTCTAGCAGCTTCAGTCCAACATCCCACCATCCCCATCTCCCACCGTGTCTCTTAGCAGAAGGTCCTTGCTCAAAGCCTGTCAGTGCCTGGGAGCCACAACCACCATCCTGGAAGGTCCCTGTGATTTTCATCACCATGTGTCTTGCTCCAAGATCCAAGCTTCCTGGTATCAACACCAGAAAACAGGGACCTAGATGCAGCTGCTTCTGCTCATCTCTGGCTCTAATTCCATACATGGAACCTCTGGTCATCCCCACCCAGGGGCTCGTGGGCAGCTCCACGGGCACCTCAGGGGTGCTGGTTGGCACCTTGGGCAGGGCTCTCCAGGTGGCAGAGCCCTGGGGACCCAGCTGAGCCAGAGCTCCTGGATGGCTGCAGGGACCCACACATGGAGACCATCAGAGAAGAGGCTGCTCTGCAGTACTGAGGTACAGCTGAAGCTTTTTAGGTGAACTAATTGCTAACCAGGCACCAGGAGGAGCAGAGAAATGCCAACTCCAGCACAGCCCCGTGCCCCCAGACACACAGACACAGCCCAGGCATCACCTTCTCCCCACCCCACCACCACAGGGTTTGTCCATGCAGCTGGTTCCTCAGAAGTCTCCAGCTTGGGGTGACGTGTCTGGGTGCAGCCCACGCCCCAGCACCCAGCTCAGCACCCCTGTCCCTCCTCGAGAGGTGGGTGCAGAGAGGTGCCAGCCCCACGAGACCTTCCCACCCCTTCCTGGCACGCTGGATTTCCTCCAGCAGATCTCTGGCTCCTTCACACACTCACCCTCGGAGCTTCTCTGTCCTCCTCCTGCCACACACCCACCCTGACCTCACCCCATCTCCGAGGTCAGAGCTGCACACAAACGTTCCCCAAGCCACCTCCTCCAGCCGTTCCCCCTGGGCTGAGCTGCTCCTGAAGCCAGGACACAGGCTGCCACCTTTTGGCAGGATCCAAAAGATTTCACAGCACTAATTTATGTTAATTAAGCAAAGCTGTGAAGCATCTTCTGCATTATACCCAATTAGAAACTTGCAGATCTGCAGGTAACTCAGTTATCTCAGCTCACACATGACATTCAGGTGCAGCCTTATTGGGTTTTTTGGTCTGGATTTAAAGC